GCTAGGCTAGAATATAAATATCGAATAGGCAAATAACAGTGAATTTAAGTGGATGTAAACAAATTAAAGGGCATAAATTAAAGGCATAAAAAGTTGACCTGAAAAGCCTATTCAGATCGGCTTGCTCTTAAGAGTGATGACGAAGCAGTTATCAATCTACTATACGGTTCATTTTTAAATCATAATGAAAGAAAAATGTAAGGCATGAGATTTGATGTCATCGAATTAATGTATAAGCTGCTATAAGTGGCAAATATATATATATATTTTTAGTATTATAATAAAAACAATATAATACCTCTAAGTAAAGCTGTACATAATGGGAGCGAATGATTTGGCTATAAAGCTAGTCAGCAATATTCCAAGTTAATCAAAAACAGATTATATTCAAAATGACTATGAAAGCTGACTTAAAAGGCTGCTAAATTGAATAAGTGAATTACACAGAGGAAGTAATAGATCGGAGTTTGCAGGCAATATGAAGTAGTATTTAAATTTTTTTTAGAGCAAATACCAATAAAGCAAGGATCCACATGTGGTTTTGGGATGTGTACAGAAAAATGAATTAAAAGGGACAACCATGACACAATTTGGATGCGAAAAACGACTTAATCAGGCATAAATTATCGTGTTGCGGCCAAAGATAAGGTATATTAGACATTAAGAATTTACTAGCTCTGCCCTCTTCCAATCTCCTGTTCATTTAATTTTCTTTTAAGGATGTCAATTGCCTTTCTAATCTTCCGTTTCTTTGTGCTTCCATTCTGAGGCCATTCTTTCTGTTGCGTTGCAATTAATATCGTTTCGTCTGTGAGATTTGTTCCGCTAATTCTGATTTTTTAGTATTCATTTTCTTGCAGAGCCTTTGATGTTCCTTGATTAGTATTCTGATTCTTCTCCCTGTTTCGCTATTATATTTATATTGGCAGCCGCCGCATCCCATGCTATAAGCTCCTGAACGATCCTATCTGTCCACCTTTTCATGTCGTGTCGGTAGACTTGGGAGGTGTTGCTTTTGCCTTGATGGTTACTTGAATATTCCATTCTATTAATATGAAAGGCCGCGACCATACAAAACGCCACATCATCCTGATCTACATACCTTCGATCAAACTATGGTAGTAAGATTGCCAAACAATGCACCATTTGCAGCCGGGCAAAAAAGACTATTCTAGTCAATAATGCCATTTTACCTTTTAAAAACCTTGTAAACGTTACTGTATCACTCCTGGATTTTGTAATTGTAAGAGTCAATTTCATTCAGATAAGTTTAATGAGATTCTACTCTAGGCCTCGTTGTATAAGTTAAATTAAACCTATAATATGGAAAGAAATACGATATTTAAGTCAAAGCTCCGGTGTAACCTGATATGGAACTATAAGACAACGTAGGTTAAAGCCAGCACGCTCAGTTGGAGGGGTTTCCAAGGCGACTACACCTATTGATCCTTATGACGAACGTAATAAGCTGGTAGATTTATCCTCGCTTCTCCTTGATCCTGAAACCACTACGCTCATTAGGAATGGACTACACTTCTATCTTAAAAATGGCAGAGACATTATAGAGGACATTTTTGTGGAGGTCATCAATATCTCCGACAAGTTCGGTAAGGAGACAAAACAGGAAATGAAGATGGAAACAATCCCTATATCCTTGACGCATTATGAACCAACGCACATGAACAGATTTGCGAAGATAAGAAGAACGCTAGAAAGGAATTAACAATTGGTCATTCAGGCGGACAAAGAAGGAGCGAAAATTGTAACATGGAGAAAGCAATATACCGAGAAAATGGAATGTATATTGTAAGGCAAGACTACGTGTCATGTATTAAAGGACCCAGCTGTGAACATAAATTGAACCTTACGAGACATGCTGAAAAATAGGTATAGGAACGGGGAAATGAATGAATGGACAATTAATTCACTAATAAAAAGGGATGCACGAGTACCAACAGCCTACGGGTTACCGAAGTTACACCACTAAGGCAGATAGCTAACAACAAGAATGGAGCAACACAGAAATTAACCAAATTCATATGCCTGAAACTCAGTAATGTGAATGACAGATTATCAAATACAATGAAACATTCATGAATTTTCTAAGCAAATAAAAAACATAGCAGTGGAATAAACTGAATTATTAGTAAGTTTTGATGTACAATCTGTGTACACAAATATTTCGGGAACAAAAGGACTAACGGCTTTGGTAGAAATTTTAGATCAAGAAGATATCCTAGAAGCAGAGAGTATCAGAAGGGAGTCCTTAACACGACTAATCGACTTGTCAATAAGTACAACCTAGTTTGCATTCAATGGCAACGGCTATGAACAGACATTTGGTCTTTCTATGGAATCAAATCTCGCATCTCTAATGGCGAAAGTATACATTACAAATTAAAGAGAATTTCAAGACTTCACCGCAGCAATTAAAAGTTTTTATGCGGTACTTGGAGAACTACTTTGCAATATGGCCTCATGGGAGAGAAAATTTGGAGGAATTCCTGAAGTTTATGAATGGGATTAAAGAAAGAATCAAATTCCCAACGGATGTAGAAACTTATGGGGCGCTTGATATTCCTAGATGTGGAGATCATTCGCTTGACTAGGAAACTTAAGAAAAAATTGTTACGAAATAAGGCGTCGGAATAATACTCAATTTTGAGTCTCATCATAACCATAGAATGGGGATAAACATTATGAGCATGATCAGCAGAAGCCTACGATTAACAGACTTGGAAGTCTAAGATGAAAAATTGACTCGGATATACCTCGGTAATGGATAATCGAGAGAAGTAATCAAAGAAACTTAATGACCATTAAGAAACGATGGCAGTACATTGATTATTAAAGATGAAAATGGAGACTCACAAAAGTGGATGTCGTCCTTCAAATGAACTAGCTCAAAAACTACGACTAATATTAATAAAATGGAATATTCAAGTAACCATCAAGGCAAAAGCAACACCTCCCAAATCTACCGACGACATGAAAATATGGACAGATAGGATCGTTCAGGAGCTTATAGCATGGGATGCGGTGGCTGCCAATATAAATATATTAGCGAAAAAGGGAGAAGAATCAGAATACTAATCAAGGAACATCAAAGGCTCTGCAAGAAAATGAATACTGAAAAATCAGAATTAGCAGAACACATCTCACAGACGAAACGAGATTAATTGCAATGCAACAGAAAGAATGGCCTCAGAATGGAAGCACAAAGAAACGAAAGATTAGGAAGGCAATTGACATCCTTAAGAGAAAATTTAATGAACAGGAGACTGGAATAGGGCAGAGCTAGTGATAGCTCTGCCTATTGTCTAATCAAACTCGGATAAAACAGAGGTGCAACAAGACAAAAAAGTCCTAGATCAAGGATCTATTCGTAAGCCAAGGGAAAGAGATCGCAAGGAAGAAGAAGGTTGGGGAGTTTCGGAAATGAAGCGAAGATGGTTTCAGTGAATGTAGGTAGCTCGAACAAACACCTCCAACTTTGGTGGCCCGGAATTTCACGTGACTAGGGCGAGTGATTAGGTCAGAAATTAGGCATTATGAACAAATAGACTAATAATCCACTTAAGATGCAGAAGGAGACCAGTGATAAATGTCCTCAATTTGTTTAGAGTACACGGGCTTAATCTAGAAGAGAACGCCTAATATCCGCAAACATCGGAATCAGAGCCTAGACGCTCTGAATATGAGGTTACATAGTACGTGCTACTAAAGTCTTGAGAAATAGCACCTGGAGTGAAGTACACAGGGGCTGGAACCGAGTGAAATCGGTCGATAAGAAAGGTAAGAAACGGACCTAGGTGCCCACGAAGCAGATCCGGAAATTATGCTAGTCGGATCAGCCACTCGAAACGGAGGGGAGCAAGGCAAACATCATGTGTAATGACGTCACGGTAAATTCGCCAGAGGCACATCTTTTGTGGAATACAAACGTGTCAGAAGTTGTGATAGGACGAGGGCGAGATAAGAGGATAGTAAATTGATAGAGGGACCAGGCCAGTGAGAAGCGACAGGGAAACCGTATCGACCGAAATTTGGCCAAGTTATTGATTTCACGTGTCTTTTTGACGAGTGGTAGGTTGGTTGCTGAGACTGGCAAGGCCAACTGACGATGCCGGCGAAACGTTTGGGAATGTACCCAGTTCATGGTCCAGCTCTGGAATAGATCGCGAATACTATGGACTTCGGGCAGGGCTCGACCCTCTAGCTCTTCCTGCTAATATGACCAAGTTGTGAAAATATGTTCAAACATTATACATACAACGAAAAGGGACCATAACCAATCAATAGGCTTCATCATACTGGCATTTCCGCTAGTTTAAAAACTTGCAATAAATAATCAGAGAATCTCTTTAAGGATTTACTTCCTAATATACAGTACTAATTTTCATCTATTACCTTCAGGTATTAGTTGAAAATCAGGAATGTACGATAAAAGTGCGAAACAAATTTGCTATGAATATTATGCCTCAATTTCATTACAACTTAAATCCCAGGAAGCTCAGATGACTAGCCGGGATGTTG